CCACGGTGAAGCGCAACAACCCCAAAAAGAAGTCACAAGGTGCGAAGAACAAGCCAAAGAAAGGCAAGAAAGAATCGAAGCCCAAGAAAACAACCAAGAAGAAGAAGAAGACAGATGATGAGGAGGAAGAGGATGAGGAGGAAATGCCGGAAGAAGATGAAGCAGAAGACGATGATGAGGAGCTTGACGAGGACGAAGGTGACCTCAGCGATGAGTAGAGCAGACCGGCTCAACCCAAGAGCCCCGCCAACACAAGTTGGCTGCAAGGGGCCATTTCTTGTGTCTTGCAGTCACATCGGCTGCAACAGCTTCCAAGGGCCTCGGTGGCAGCCCGGAAACCCAAGCCTTTACACCCGGACGGCTGAAACAACCCTGAAGCAAGAGGATGAGGAAACCCAAGCCTTTACACGCGAAAGCCCACAGACAGTTGGCTGCCACAGGCCGCATTTTGCTCCGTCAGCTGCAACAGCTTCGGAAGGCCACGCAAGTTTTTGACAGTTCTGCGTGCAGCGTGCTCGCGTGAAAAGTGGCCCTGAGCATGCATCTGAGCGGTTGTCGTAGTTTGCAAGCGAACATTCTTGGTTTCAGTCGCCGCTGCCAGCCGGATCAGGTGGTGTCGACTGCAACAGTCTTCCTGCTCTGGGCCATGCCGGTGAAAGTGGTGAGTGCATGTGCAGGTCTGGGAACAGAGAGCTTCGCGTTGAAAGATTTGGGCATTGATCACCGTGTCATCCTGTGCGCGGAACAGGAGCCGCATTTACGGAAGTTCTTGAAGGATCAGCACCAGCCGGAAGTTTTGGTGAAGGACGTGCGAGCACGTAGCTTCATGGACCGGGGATCCGGCGCTCAGCTACTGGTGGCAGGCTTCCCCTGCCAACCGTTTTCGAGGCAAGGCTCGAACCGCGGTGTGCGCGACCCGCGAGGTGACGTTGCTTCGCATCTTTTGAAATGGGTAGCTGCCCATCGTCCGGACTCGTTTGTGCTGGAGAACGTGACCAACTTGATGAAACATAAGAAGACCTTCATGCGCATCCTCAGGGACCT